ACAACTTTAATGGTCATATCCTTATTACTTATCATCACAGAGCGTAAGTGTTGTTATTTACATCATCATACACCTTGAAAACCTAACCTTGCCAAAAGAATTAACAGTCTAACAACAGACGTTGTTTCATGAACACTTAATGTTTGAGTCCATATAGCAACTATGTTTCATGTTTTATTAAGACTTTTGCAGATCTTTTAAGTCATGTGTATACCAAAGTACCCATTCTACGGGCTTAAAATTTACAGCTCAATAAAGCTAATATTGCAGTTCAATTAATTCTACTATTTTCAATGATAGAAACACTCCGGATGTGTCAATATTCGTATAATAATCGTGGCATGCCAACATTAGACCGTATCCTTTTCTTTTAATAACTCAGCTAATCCACTTCGCTTTCCCAGAACAAATTAAATTTTGCAATGTCTTTAGTAAGAGAACATACAGTTTAAAGCACCTCTACTTTTCCTTATGGCCTTGGGAGATTTGCAAGCATTTCATATTAAATATGAAACCATAAAAATTCTATTTTATTTTGAAATGAACATAAATTTAAAATTTGCAATCATACACATAATTTTGTTACAAGAACATAAATATAGATTTACGTCATATGAAAGTCTCTTTTAAAGATACTCATAGACTCATAAATACTAGTATATCGGTATATGTGCAGTAAGGAAAGAAGTAACAGCAAAAACATTGTTAATATCATTTATGGCACATTAAGTGCCTTTTCATTATTTAAAACAGAAAATGCTATCCAAGTTCTTGTCGTATTTAGCTAAAGTGCAGGCTCCTCAGATCCGTTCGGTGTGTCTTATATGCATTTTTGTTGCATCTAATCAGCAACATTTATGTTTGCTCATAAATATGCAAATATCCTTAAAGTACTTTTTAAGTAAGTTTAACATGTACACGCTTGCTAGTTCGCTCGCCTGCTCGCCTGCATGCTTGTAGGCATTCACTGCACTCAGCACACAGCACTCAACATACCGAACACTAAACACTGAACACTAAACACTGAACACTAAGCGCTGAACACTGAACGCCGAACACTGCACAATGAGCGTTCTGGATTTAGTATTTAGCATTCAAGCATGAAGCGTGAGGCATGTACGAGTATCCATTTGAATGGCTTTGTACTTCGCACATAATGGCCATTATGGCAAATTGAATGTTGGCTTTGTCGCGTTTTGTTAGTTAAATGCAGCAAGTATCTTCATTTTATATTTTTGTGAGTTACTTTTTCCTGTTTTGTTTGTCTTACTTTATTGGGTCATAAATAACACCTTGTAAGTTTTTAACTGCATACAGTATCTTCTTTTTTTCTTCTTCTTCTTCTTGTTATTGTTGTTGTTGTTGTTGTTGGTGGTGGTTCTGATACCACACAACTTCTCCGCTTCTCACGATATTTTCATTTGATTCTGAACCGTACATGGCTGGGATTGATGTAGTTGGTTGATGCTTTCAACTTTGTAAACAAAACTTAAGTATTTATGGCATTCTAAAAACAACATTTATCAGAGAGTGTTTAGTTGTTGAAGCCACCTTTACAAGCCAAAACCAAAACCAAAACCAAAACAAAAAAAAAAATAGCAAGAAACACATTAAACAGAAAAAAGTTTGCTGCGGCACATTTAAAATATACTTTTTTCTCATTTAAAACTGACCTACTATACCGAACTCACATCTTTGGAAGTATGTCAAAAATTGGCTGACAATATAATTCTAAGGAAAGATTTTGTTACTGATATGTGCATGTAGTTTAAAAGGTACGATAAGTTGAGTCCCATACAAAAGTGATTAATTTCAATCTAAAATATGTAAGGTTATATTACAATGACTCTCCGAAATAAAAGACTATCTGATAAAATCTTAAGTTTTAATAAGAAACTATAACATATGTATATTTTGGGTTTAAAAGTAGCAAAACTCACATTATATATTATATATCTTTATGCAAAAGAAGAAAAGAATCAAGCAATAATGGATTACATACAGTTTTGGAATACCTCTTAATGCTTTTAACAGTTTTCTATAAAAAGCAATACAATACATATACTAATTAAATTTCTTAGAATTTCACTGTTTCTAATGTTAATCAAATATATTACATAAACCCACTAAAAAAATTTTAAAGTAAATTTAAAGTCAATAAATAATATATCCTTAAACTGAAATATAATATATATAATTCATAAAAAAATATAGTTATCATATAAATATAGTTAATATAGTTATAGTTCTTGCCTATATGAATTTAAAAATTTATCATCGTAGTATTCGTATTAACCGAACTTATAAAATATTTTATAAACCCAGTCATTATACCCTTAGTACCAAACTTTATCTCTCTAAAACAGTCTTAGGTTAGGTTAGATTTATGAACAAGTCTGCAGCAGAGTCGACTTACTAATCCGTTGCGTTACCCTATGTTTCGTTTTAACATATTTATAATGACTTTTACGATACATGTACTTCCGATTCTTAGTATATTTAAACTGCGAAAAATTATATATATTGTAAAAAGCCCTTTGTAATAATATCACTTCTTTTATATTTTTTTCTATTGTTATATTATTACTTTCCGTTAAATTATCTTTACCCGTATAATCCCAATAATCCCAAGAACCCAATAAGAGTTCTTAATTGCTTCGTACGGAGCAATTTCTACGGGACTCACCTGAAGTGCAGTGCAGTTAACCCATCTTTCCTATGAAAACTGTCACTAGCATTCTTAGTAACAGAATGTTATTGGCAGCGATAATATAGCCGTTCACCGTTTATTCGTTATAATTGCATTAAAGACATTATCCATTTTACTAAAGCAATACTAAAGTTTTTCGAACTTTACTCGAAATCCCTACAGTCAGCCAGTGTATCGAAATTTTGGGGTGCTCTAAGACGACAATCACTAGCATCGTTTATCTATTTATAACGCCAGTGATCCCTTGTAAGTTTTTTTTCTTACTCTTAGTTCGTGGTTTTTTGATATGCATAAAACGCGCTAATGATGCATTAACTTCATATTGTGACATCCAAGAGTTATACATTTTTTGGAAGTTTACAAGATTTAATCTACACTGTTCTATCATAGGGGTTCTTGCCTGGAATGTAGTAGCAAAACGACGGAAAATCAGTAATTGTATATACGTTAAACGTATTTCAACCACAATGTATTATTGTTTGCACATATAGTTTCATTATTTTAAAATTTCTCAATAGAACGGTACAGTAATATATTTAAATTATTAAAAACAGAATACATCTCTGAACTTATAAAAACATAAACTTGTGTACTACACTACTAAATATAATTTTTCGCACTTTTCTGTTAAGTGGTTAGAATGATAACAATAGCTTTGAAAAGTAGTGACTAATTCTATTTAAAGAATTTATTATAAAATTCTTTAGATTTCAAAAGTTACGTTTAATAATTGAGTGATAAATTTAAATATTTTATTTTATAAACTTTACAAGCTAATGGTAATCACTATAAGTTATCTCCTTGTATGCCTAGTCTTGCTGATACTTTACTAATTTCATCCAACCAAGATATAACTAGTATTAAAAAAATAAGTTCAAACCCAGAAATATGATAAAGAAACAATTTCATTCCGAACTTTTTGATAATAATATATTTTTATTATCATATATGCATGAGTAAATTAGGAAAAATGTTACTCATACGCTCAGTTGATATCACAATTTGCAGTTTCACAAAGTCAGTAAGTCAGCTCACAAAGTAAAAATTGTTTTTATTCAAAAAATTTGTATAAAAAACTATTATTTATAACTTTTATCTTTACAATAAAATTTCATCAAAGCAAAAAATTATTCATAATTTTTGCAAAAGTTATAAGAGATCAGCCTTTGGAATAGCAAATTTATTTCGTACATTGTGACATGGCACAACTTAACCATACAATAACGCAATTACTTACTAATTTCTAAAGAGGCAAATTGCCTTTGCCATCAAAAAAAGCTTGTATATCGAAATGCAAGTAACTTATATGAAATACGTAGTGCAACAGCATCAAAAGTACTTTTCAGTATAAATGCAACTAAATGCCATGATGCGACTTCCCAGTGCTGTCGATGCACGATAAACTTTTGTAATTGCTTTTCAAGTACCACACAAAAGTGACTTAATGGAACATGTTCAAATAGCAGATGACATTGGCTCTTCTATGTGGAAAACTTTGTGTTCTGATTTTATGCAGTCATGGCAGAGAGCAAATACGACCATAAATTTCTAATAAGTTGACATAGATTTCCTATAAAAAGTAAAATCACATTTTGCAAGCATTTCGAGTGCAGCTCTGAAGTACCATAGAATATAGATGGTCAAGGTATAAATATACGCAAATGAATGTAAAATCTAAATAAAAACTATTCGACCAGATAAAATATGTAAAATAAAACTCTAATTAGGAAGCATAAGGCGGTATTCATAAGAGCTGTTCGAAATAATTCAAATTTGATATGAAACATTTATAGTTTTCTTTCTTTTTAAAGATAAATTTTTATAAAATAATATCACAAGTAAATATTTGAACATTTAATTTCTGAATTTATGTTGTACGAATTGATTGACTATCCATCACCGACATGTTCACACAAAAAAATCGCAACCCATCCATTTCTTCCATAAATAACTCCTCAGTATCATGGTTCAAGAATTACTTTATTAGCTTCAGTTAATTACTCTCTTATACAGTAATCGCACCTATAACGCGGTAGATAACGTTATAGTGGTATTCCTGTATACCCCGTATACACACGTGCAAAGATATGCGAGGCTAATTATGAACTGTGGGAATGCCCGTGTTATGCGAGGGATTGAAATTGCTTAATATGAAAACGCGTTATAAGGGTACCGCATTATAGGGGGGATTACTGTATATCTGTTATAAAAAATTTCTTTAATTTGAATTAATTTTAAAATAAATATATTTTAAATATTTCTACTAATTATAATTTCTTTTTGCTTACAGTTTACTAAAATTGCGGTACTAAAGAATAAAAGAGGAACAATATTTGATCTTATAAGAACTACGTAACTACGTAACGAGCCAACCGAATGCAGTATCTTAACTACGCATTACAAACTTCCTCACGTTTTCTCTCCACCTCTGCAACCACCTCAAATACAACTTCCACTATTAACAACAACAACACCTGTCCCAACAATAACAGCTGTTCCTCGCAAACTGTCGACCAACTCAACGCCAATTTGACAGAGAACGGAGTAGTTGGCTCATCAACGGAAGAACGTATAGACACAAGCGTTAACGCCACAACATCACAGAGTGGCGCTCAACCTCAATGAAATTTACTCTCGATTAATGTTAACTTCGGACGTTTCAAACTGTTATCGTTTTTCAATCGCGACATGGCCGCCACAGATGGCCAAATAATATTGGCTGCCTCCCGTTTCGGGGAGACCCTACCGGTATATATACGTGACTTTTCCAAACAAAAGTTACCTGCCGTAGCGAAAATTGTGAAAGGACAACATCAGAATTTAGGCGTTCCGACATTGTCTGCACCTTCGTTGCAAAGCACAGCACTATTCTTAAGCGCTGGCAAAAAATATCAAATACTAGCGCAACCAATAAAAATCAAGGAGGGACGCAAGCCCACAAATGTAGGTGCCAAGGTGCTTATACCGGAAACCTATACGGGTTACTTTGAGCTATTAAGCGAAGATGGTCGTTCTACGCGCTGCATCGATTCGGTGCTAGAATTATCAAGGCGAAGGAACTTACGCGTTCTAGTGCGAGAAACGTTTCGGTGCACGCAAATGAATCGCACGATTCATGCAGGTGAAATGTTGACCACAATGAATGATAATGGCAAATATTTACAGTGCAAAAACATCAAAGATGAAATCATTAATTTGCCACTCGATACCAAAGCGAAATTTTCACCCATTGCCAAGGAGGATAGCATTAGTGGAGTGCATACGGTGAAAAATCTACTAATGAAACGTATGCCTGTTATTGTGAGGTGAGTATATCATTATGATGCTTCTATTGCTATATAAATTTGATCTGAAATTTTATTTTGAGAATATAATAAATATTTCTCTTTTTAAAATTTATTATTTTCCCACTAATAGATTAGTCCATGGTAGCGCACCTAAAGGTCTTAAACAACCATTTGTCCCTGAATTACGTTTACTTGGCTGTGTTGAAATCGATCGCATATTTGCTTTACCACTACAGAAGGATAATGACTTGGTACCGGTGCCACTAAATGCGAAAATTAAGTTGCAACGTGTCAAAAATATGGAGCAACTAGAACACTTCATAGAGTATTCACGTTTTTTGGAGAAGGCACAGCGTCTGTTGTCTGATGCACGTGATCGTCTACAAATTGTCGATCTCAAATTATCAGAGAAAGAGAAAAAGGACTCTAAGTTCAGTAGCCGTAATAAATTACCCGTGGTTATGTTGCCATCAGCAGCTGGTGTAGCTGTGGCTGCAGCTGGTCTAATGGAAGGTGGTTACGTGCTGCGAAAAAGTGCCAGCTGTGATTCTTACAGCAAAAGTCAGGCGGCTGCAATAAGCAGTGAAATCGCTGAAGAATATAATGAAATAGATCACATATACGATTACGTCCGTGGCCTAACACCGCTCTCGAAGGGCTTGACGCGATTTGAACCTATTTGTGAAACGCCCACAATTAAATCACATCATACAGATAGTAGTGGAAATTATTGTAGTCTCATACGTGTGGGCCATTCACAAAATAATAGTAATAATAACAATAGCAACAATAACAACAATAATAATGGCAACAGCAATAGCCTAAATACAAATGGCAGTAATGCAAATCATAGCACTGGAAATAACAACAACAACAACTATAGTAGCTTAGACTCGAATAAGCATACAAACACAAATAGTAGTCACAATAGTAGTAGCAACAGTAATCATCATCACCATCATCATCATCAAAGTCACTCGCATAATCATCATCATCAGCAGTCAAATGTTGGTGTTAATCATTATCACCATAGCCATATTCTAGTGCAAGAAGATATAAAGCCAGTGCCGCCACCTATCGAAACAATACCTGGTAAAAAATTGCCAGAAAAACGTCAACGTCCGACACTACCAAAGCTTTATTTGAAAAACACGCACAGCGCAGGAAGCAGCAGTAATGGTAATTCAAATGTTGGTAATCATCATCATAATCATCATCATCATCCACATGCCGGTACTGCTGTTGTGACTACAACTGCTGCAGCGCATCACTATCACGCCCATAATGGCGCGACAGCTAAAGTACTGACACCAAATAATCATCAAGCACTAAATGGTAATGTCCCACTAAGTGCCGGCATTTTGAACAAGGATTGCGGTTTGGAACCACAATCGCCACTCTTTCATATCAGGTAAATACGAGCACTACCCTTATAACTATTAGGAGTTTATTTTACATTGTAATGGTTGTAGGATTTTAGAGTTCTAATTCGAAGATACGTCACGATAGTATTACTTATATTAGTATTCTAATATAATCTTTTAAAATGTATTATATATTTTTATTATATTATATACGATTAATACGTGTATCACCCAGTTGGTCTCTGGATCATAGAG